GGCCGCTTCAAATGAGGAAGCGGCGATTGAGCGTTAAATGAAAGATTTGAAATGAGGGAAACTGCTGATTAACTGACTAATAAGACCATTACTTATCTTAATAGAAATTGTCAAACCCAATGACTGGCATAAAATGAAAATCAGTCCATAAACTTCTAGATTTTTTGGGAAAAATAATCACTTTGAATTTAACAGGCTTAAAGGGAAAGCGAGGGAAAAGCCTCCCAGCCAGACTGGATTTGGGTCTATTGCTTATCGTCTTGTTGGGCGTTGAAGCAGTGGAGAGCTTTTGTTGGATGCCAGCAGCTCAGAGAGTTGAGGAGGAGGAGGAGGAGGAGGAGGAAGTTCCACTAAACATAGAAACAAGAGTTCTCCGCCAACTCCCAGCCACACAGAGCCCAACATCTAAAACCAAACCCAGTGATTTTCACCAAGCTGTTCACTGTACAGACTACACCCCCGGCCATTCCTCCCTCTCTGCCTCGGTTCCTCCCTCTATCCGTCGCTCTCAGAGGTCAGCTTTCAGAGAAATATCTCCCTATGTGAATGAATATTAAAGCGGCAGCTGTGTGGGAGGAGAGGTGAGCGGGGTGAACGCCAAGAGGATTCATTCACCACCCATCCTCCGTTTTTAGTGTTCAGGCAATTAAAATTCATCATTGGCAGGCTGGAAAATGGAGATGATTGTGTGGTCAAATGTGGGAGCAGAAGAGGGTTTTTAATGCATCTTTTAATTTTAATGACTGCTGATGATGTGGATTAATGTGCCCATCGTGCAGAGGACGATGTATAGAGAAGCTTTGCATTTATTCAACCAAAAAGTCAAAAGGGCAAAATTACTGATGAATTCATTTATTATTTTTAACTTTAAAATGCATGAAAAGGATGAATCCAGATCCCTCCAATTTAAATTGAAAGCCCTTTAAATATTTGTGATTGCACTGCACAAAGTATTTTTCTTTTTGAAGAGATGGTTGGGACCCCTAACGTGTAAAGTCTTTTTGCTTGATTTAAATTTGATGTCCATCTGTACTATCAGGAATCCAGTGGAGATCCTTCAAAGCTCCTTTAGGTGCATCTAGTTGCCATTAAGGGCGTTGCAGAGCTCCCTCTGGAGGGTTTAGTGGTCCATGAAGACAAAGACCAGCTCCTTTCGGTGCTCATCGTTGTTGCTAAGGACATGTTAAGCGTCTTTGTAGTGGTTTAAATGGTCCTTCTGATTCTGGAGAAGATGCTTTAGGAGATTTACGGTAATCATACGGATAACTAAAGACTTAGCACTTTAGCAAAACACTAAATGGGGGCTGTAACAAGGTTCTCAAGCAACTACTATACACCTTAATTACTGTACCAGCTCATCTAATGACCCACAGGTGTTCAACCACACAAACTAGCCCATAAATCGCTTAAAGGGAACTATCTTTAAGACCTTAATAGACCTTACAAAAAGGTGCCAAACGCCCAGTACTACCCAGTTCTGCCTTTGTGCCTTTGAGAGCCAGCCCATGTTTGGAGAGGTTTGAGAAGTGTTTGTTATATAGCATTACTAGCAGAAGTCGGATAATTTCTCTTCTGGGAAGAAAATCAGAAAATGCGTGGGCTGAATCTGTCCATCATTGGTTAATTTCTTGAGTTAACCACTACCAAGCCACTGACAGTGGTTCCAACGGTGGGCGGAACAATTTTATGGTGTTGTACTGATGCCAGCTCTTCATCGCTGGCACAAGTCCTGTTTCTTTGTGGAAATGTGTAAAATGAGTTCTAGCGTCAGCACCAGCACAGCATCCAGGGAAGAGAAGCACAGAGGGCTTTGCTGAGGTAGACGTCAAGCCAAACTGAAATAAAACGAATTGTGTTTAAGAGACTTAAGGACCTTTTATAAAATCCCAGACCTTTGAAAGACCTTAATAAGATTTCATCAGGTGGTTGAACGCATGGGTTATCAAATGAGCTCTGAAGAGATGTCAAACTATCTAAATGTCCTAAAGTTCCTCTAAAACATCTTCAATGATGACTCTAAGCATCTGAAAGACCTTTAACAGCGTATCAACAATAGGAACCTAAAGAACTTAAGTTTGCTGCTCTTCCCAGGTCCCCTTAAACAATGTCTAGAAGTTTCAGACTGATTACCAGGATTACCAGGGTATCCTTAGAGGTCCTGGCTCCCAAGAACTTAAGAAGGACCTCTAAAAAACCCTCTAAAATAAATTTCCCTGTAACCAACGAAAGCTTTTAGAGACCATATTGTGGTGGCTTTAACCGGTCGAACGCACACAGGTTGTTAAACATCTAGTAAGATATTTCTTTGTAGGACGGATCATTTCACAGATGATTTGACATGTTTAACCATTTCAAAGTCCTAAAAGAATAAAGGTCGTAAAGGCAAAGCTATCTTAAAAGAGCCTAGAAATATTTTAACTCCCTAAAAAGAACCTGGAGAACTTGTGCTCTCGTTCTTGCTCATAACAAACCTCTAGAACATCAACATCTTTAACATCTCCAAAGAACTTTGTGTTTTTGAACATCTATTCCTTTTTCCCTTTTCTAAGATAATCATTTATTTGTTTTTGTGAAGGTGCTCAGCGATGCTGCTTGCCAGACGCACTCGTTTGACTCTCAGACAGTCTGAGACTTGTAAATTCTACTTGTGCTTTACTGGACGAAATTTTGCACTGGAGTCAACAATGTCAGAGCGCAGTCAGGCCTACGGTCCACTTTACACGTCTGTCCTGTCCTTTTTACTTGATTTAGGTTTTTAGTTTCACCCACAGAGTGTAGGAAAGCTTTCTCCCGCTCAGCAAAGTCTTAAATCCTCCAGAGAGGACGGAGTTTGTGCTGTGGGAAACGGCGAGTCTTTAACCGACTGCCGAGCCCTGAAGGAGACAGAAAACAGACATCTTGTGCAGCTAAGTGGGGCATTTTTCTGACAGCAGCAGACAGTCTGAGCGTCTCTGCAGCTTTCTGTGAGGTTGTCCGACACCACTGAGACAACTTTACAACTTCAACAAGGCTGAGAGCATCTGTGCAGAGACACCGGCCCCATCCTGAACTGTCACTGCTCACATTTGCTTTAATCCTGCACCAGTCCTGCTTCCTGTCTCCGTGCTGTTTATCTCTCCTGCCTGAGAATAAAAACCCTGGAAATGAACAGATTGTGTTTGCTGCGTTATGAAATCAAAACAGCGTTCAGCTTATTTTCAGCTCCAGATAACAATAATAGCAGCGGCGCCACAGGCTGCAGAGAGCAGGCTGGCACATATGGAGGTGTGACCGAGGATGAGTTTCATAAGCAGCAGAGAATATGTAAAAGAAATGAAATATTTATCAGATACCTGTTGCCTATGGGTATTAATATGGTTATTTATTTTATTATGGAGTCCCCGTTAAAGGCTGAATAACCAATCTGTCTGGATACATGTGAATATTGTTTACAGAGGTGTGATTTTGATATTCCAACACCTGAACTAGGATCTGAGATACAGTAAAGACGTGACATCAAAGCTTTCTCAGACTCACAATGAGTTTTCATTCATACGTGATCGATATTTGAACATTCAAAGCCACCTGAGTCTGCAGCGTGCCAACAGGTTTCTACAGCTTTGCAAATCTCTGCTTAAAACTTAGTCTCTTCTGTAGCCACCGACTATCAAATATGATTATAAAACTCATTTTATTTTGTTGATTCTGGTTCCAAAATTACTTTTGCTCAAAAACACAAAAGCTTTCAGACCATTAAAAATGTTTTGCTGGTGGATTTTTAATTATTTCTAAATTTTTAACTGATCCTTTCGTGGAGCTACTAACTAACTTATTATTAATGAGTAATAGAGCAAATATCAAACTGCAATAGATAATGGAAGACCGTATGTGATGTTTCCAAATGAGTCTTTAAAATGCATCCAAATTATTTTTGAGAGACAGAAAAGAGGAACAACAAAGACGACACATGGTGAGTGTAGCTGCACTGAGCAGGGGTCTTCTTCTTCTTTTTTTTGACATTATTTGGAGACGTATTTGAAGACAGAAGACAACAAACATAAATATATTGTTGGTTTTTGTCTTTTTAATCATTACTGTATTAAGTTTATTTATCAGGTGTGAGGTTTTCAGGAGTAAGAGTGCAAATGAGAAGAGAAACACAGCATTTCTGAAAGCAGTCGACTCAACAGTCACGCACACATCTCAATAAACATTTGCACTAAAGCCTCATCAGGCAGCTTCGGAAAAGACATTTGATGAAATGAACAGAATAAAACTGAAGACATTCCTGTATAAATGCACTCTCACACCGTTTTCAGAGCTTTGCAATAACTGTTATGCCAGAGCTGAAATTACTTTCAGCGCTGATGAACTGAAGCTTGGTAATAACGCAGCGTGAAGACTCACTTCTTCTAAACGCTGCCTTGCGACCGTTCCCAGTCCTACAGCTTCACAGCTAAACACCTCCGACACAGCCGAGTTTGACATTTGACAACGAACAAACAAATGATTCACAGGTGAGAGTCACACTGACGACTGATAACATCACATGGCTCCATCTGAGTGACAAAGAAAGCTGAGTACTTTATCAAAACCCCTTATAAATGGAGAACAAACACCTTGATTGTTTCAAGATGGACTGCAATCAAACAGGTGAACTTCAATCTCTTCCTTTCATCCGAACCAAAGAACTAAAAGAGCCTCAAGTGATTTAAAACATGAATAAGACAATTGTCTCTCTATCTTTCCTTCTAACCTCCTTAAATAGAAACTCTAGAAAGCAATCAAAGCCCCAAAAGCAATTTTAAAACATTAATGCAGCCCTTTCCTCTCAGCAGGGGAAACAAAAGCCCTCAAACAGTCCACCGGTATTCCTTTCCTGTCATTCTGTCCTGTCTCTCTTAATTCCCTTCCCTGACTTCCTTCCTTTCCCACAGAGTACCCAACTCAAACAGGAGCGCAAACATATTCACAACAGCTTTTCCTCCTCGGTAGACTAATCATCCGTTCTTTCCTCCTACCTTCTTCAGCTGTCCACTCCGGGTTCCCACGAACACCACCGTGTGCTCCCCGTAGGTGTATGCGGCCACGGCGCCCATGCCCTCGGTCCGGTCCTCGTACAGCGGCTGTCCCTCGATCACCCTCAGGCCTCCGAGCGGCTGGTTCAGTACCAAACCGCAGAAATCATCTCCGATCTGCTTCGGCTGTGGACCAGAGGGAAAAGGTGGCATTATTAGAAAATATCACAAGAAGCGAGGTCGCTCAGCTTCAGATGAAAAATAAGAGAAAGCTGCCGCTTTCCAAAGCCACCTAATACCAGCGTTATTGATCTGGTGCCCGCCTTCAGTCCATTAGGCGGGGATCAGTATCGGCTCTCGACAATAGCACGAGATGTGGCCCCTTAACTAAAGTTAAAGCAGCTTGAGAGCAAGATGTACAGAACGAGTCGTCCAGAAGACAAAAGCACAGACACGCACTTTGGTGTTTTGGTATTTAAATAGACAATTTAATGCAGATTTTTCTTTGGTCAGATGTTCAAAAGTCATTTAAAAGATCAATATAAATGATTATAAACAAAACCCTATGTGATTGCTTTGTTTACTTCTTATATTCCCATCGTGATTCTTAATGCGCTGCAGACACCAGTGTTTTAATAGGAGACTGCAGGACCACATGGACGTCACAGTCTACACAAATCATGACTGCTCAGGCCTAACGGTGACTTTAGACCAGCGGTCCTCAACCTTTTTGCGCTACGGACCGGTTTATTGTTAGACAATACTTTAAGGTGTCGCGGATAAATACAGCAAAATAAAATGATGCGACCAAGAAAAATCTGCAGTATTCTGTAAATATAATAATAAACACAAATTCACTGAGTAATTGTGTAACTTTATTAGCAGCGTCCTCCTGAAATGCACCAATAACATTGAGCGTAACATCCTCCTCTCTGCCCCTTAATGCTCTCTGGCCGCTATGGTAACCTGTAAATATTTCTTTCAAAATAACACAAAACTACAACACGGGAAAAACCATGAAAACCATAAATTTCACGCCCGAGCCTCAACTCTCGCGGCCCGGTACCAAACGACTCGTGGCCCGGGGGTTGGGGACCGCTGCTTTAGAAAGCACAGCTTCTTTTTAATTCACAGTTTGACTGCTTGATCAAAACAAAAACCATTGTCGCCGTTAAACCGCTCAATGTTATCAACCATTAACTTCACCTCTGAACACCGCGGGAGAAACACAGTGCATTTATGCTTCTGCGTTAAATCTATGTCATAGTTATGTCACATGACCCCTTTGAGACCCTGTGCTGTAATCTATGTTCGGGTATCTCTGCACCTGCGCAGAAATGGAACTGTGCATCACTTCAACGCGGCCTGTTCAGCACTGCATTTCCATCTACTTCGTCTGCCACCAGGTTTTGCATTGACTGGAAGAGAAAAGATCAACTTGCGGAGAGAAATTCCACCTGCCTGTTGGTGCTTTGATGGTGAAACTGCAGAGCAACATAGACAAACTGTACACAAGTACACGCTGCCTACGGCCACTCGCACAGACTGCATCGTAGGCTCTACACAAAGAATTCTAAATCAAGCTTTAGATGTAGGGTTAAGAGCCAATTACACTCTGCTGCAGACATGGACGTGGACAGCTGAAGACATCACGGCCAAGTAATCATTCCTGTTATACTTCTTGGACATGCGTCTAAAAAGGTTCATGTGTACTTGCTGCAGAGTGTGCATGGTCACAAACATCTGTAGGCATGCAAACATCCTTTCAGAGCTCTCTCTCTTGTGCTCTCTGATGGATGACGACATTTAACGATAATGCAAAATAACTGCTTGTCATGCAGAGTGGACAGGTCTCAAGCTACCGATGAGTGCGCTGATTGACATATGACAGGGTAGTACAGACAGAGTGCTCTAAAACCAATCAGTGACAGAGAGATCCATGATGAGTGAATCACCTACTTAGGGTTAGGTTGCATTTTAGCCTCATACTTAGCAAGCACAGCTCCAGAAAATAGATGTTAGCTTTCAAATAAAGTCTCTAACACTCGGTTATAAGATTTCCATTAGATTGTACCAGGCACCTCAAACGTCTACATAAAAGGGATGAAACCAAACCCAGTCGCTGTCCTCCAGGTGGATATTATCAGGTTAACAAACAAACATCATGTTTTTATTCAACTTTAACACACTGATAGATTACATGAAACTTTAAATACAAATGTAAGGAAAAGCAAGTAAAAAATGAGCAAACGTGGGGTGCATGGTGGAGGACAAAGGGCTGTAGAGCCAAAGCGCTTCATGCTTCTGTATGTTGCCCACAGGGCAGAGTGTATGAAACAGGGAGGAGACGAGTTATTACAGGGTCCACATGCACTCAGAGGGTAGCTAACACCCTGTCATTAGCGGGTTAAGGCCTTGATGCATCACAGCGACCGTGCAGGGTGGAAAGTCTGAAACCCAAATGTTCGAGCCAACACTCCACTGGCAAGTTTATCTCCATTTTTGCACATCAAAAAATAGAGATAAATACCTTTTACATCTTAAAGGTTCACTCCTGGGAATAGCAGTCAGAATGGTTTCAGGTTGTTTGGATTAGATAAAAAGTTTCCCTCGCCATCATAAATCCCTCGTGACACCTTCAGCTCTCAGTTGGTCCAAATCATCCTTCTTCAAAGATGACTTTCGGCTCAAATTCACTTTCACACAGCAACATCTGACTATCAAACATCTTCTGTCGTGTGACCTGTCAGCTAAGTGTTGATTCACTTAAAAGATTTCTGGCTTCTATTCAACGTTTAATGTTTTCAGCTGAAACCTGTGTGATGCCGACACAGGACAAATCAGAAGTCTAAAGTCTTAAAAAGGCTCAAATGCTCAAAGCAGAGATACTCAGCTGGTTAATAAAGAAACAACATTTATTTTCAAATCAACTCACTTGTTAATTAGCCAGGACGGACCACACGCCATGTAAACGGTATATTTAACTGTCCAAATACTTCAGCCAACTCTTTGTGTAACATAGAAGACAGTTCAGTTTTATTAAGTGAGATATTAAATGGTCCCTGGACAAGTTCACGCCCTAGTGCAGTGGTTCCCAAACTCTTTTCGCCTGGCCCCCTCTGTTTTGCAAGAAAAATGTTCGCGCCCTTCGCGCATGCACACACACACACACGCACTAACACGTCCTCCAACCACACACGCCCATATTTTGCTCCACTGCGGTTTATTTCACACCTCAAACATTTACTAAACAATTAAGCAAATACAAGTAATCTGCAGGTAGTAAGAAAATAAACTACTAACTCTTTTACGCTGCGTCCGCACCTACACGGGTATTTTTGAAAACGCAGCTGTTTCGTCCACGTAAACGGCGTTTCGAATCATCGAAAACGGAGATTTTTTTAAAACTCCTTTTTTCCGTTTACGCGTGGACGAGGAATACAGAGTTTGTCACGCAGCGTCAAAGGTATGACCCTTTTTTCACGTCACGCTGTGCTCCACGTTATTGTTTACATGAGATGAATTGCAGAATAGCAGATAGAGACAAAATACTGTTAATCTGACTATCATCAGTTTTTACAGCTTACATATACACGCCTTGAGGCGACTTTTGTTGTGATTTGGCGCTATATAAATAAAATTGAATTGAATTGAATACACACGCAGTTACTGTCCCTCCATTTAGAAAGGCAGAGGCGTCACGGTGTGATTATTTTACGTGTAGTTGTTTTTTTTCCTGTGTAATAATGTTCAACATTGCTGTCAATACATTTTTCAAAAATGCCTCTGTGTGCAAAATGGGTTTAAAAACATAAACAGCTGTGGGATCCTGTTTGTCCGTGATTTGGACAGGGGGAACAAATCGTGGCAGGATCAGCCTGATGTTATTTGTATCCCGCTGTAACTTTACTGTATAAAGAGCAAACATCTCCAAAATGTCAGGAGCAGTTAGTCATTACAAGAAGTGTTTGTGAACTAAAAGTCAAGAATGTGGGATCCTGTTTGTCCGTGATTTGGAGAGCCCAGCGCTGCTCCCGATGAAGGGAAAACCAATTCTGCAGGGAGACCTACCTCGGCACTTGTGCAGGTGAAGCCAAAGGGAAGATGCTTCACCAGATTTTCTCGTCTTTGGCTTAGAATGAAGTTTGTTTGGAAACATATTCAGCGATGCTTCATCTCCTGCTTTGCGTTTGTGAGGAGCCCCGTTGCTAGCAGTGTCCAAGCGTTGTTTTTGTTTTTCCCTTTTCATGCCACGCCCCCCTTGCAATGGCTCTGCGCCCCCCCCTAGGGTCGGGCCCCACACTTTGGGAAGGTCTGCCCTAGTGTATGCCTGGTTGCTCACCTTAAAGCCTGCAGGCCTTGAAAGCTGAGCAGTACTACCTCTGAGGTCTCAGGTCTGTTTCCTGCACATTCACTTTGCTTGCGAGAAATGCATAAGCATACTTCAAGATTTATTTACCTTCTAAGATAACAAGTGATCGACTGTAGAGGCAGGGGGGTGGTTCATCAATTAGCAATGTTGCCTCACAACAACAGAGTCCTGGGTTAAAACCCGGGCATGGCTCTTCTGGCGGGAGTTTGCATGTTTATCTGCCAATGAAACTTTAACTCCACAGTGGAGTTAAACTAACGCTGGCAGCTGCAGACTGAAATAGTGGAACTGGAGTTCATGCACAGGATAAGGAAGTCACATGAGTCATCAAGTTCACACACTAGTATCTATTCATTTATTCGAAGAGGCGCGCCTGTCCTACTACTGCCACGAGTACTTTAAAATGAACTGAGAGACAACTTAAGTCTTTTAAATTCTTTGTTAGCTCAGGGGTTATCATTTACTCCTCACACTATGAGAGTCCGAGGTTTAAACCCACACAGCAGGTGATCTGGTGCTTGGATAGTACATTTCCATTCAATCTGAGCACTCAAAGCATTTTTACTACCCATGTACACACAACCATGTGTCCTTTTGTTTTTGTCTTTCTGATGGAAGCATCAGGGCAACTTGGGGTTCAGCATCTTGCCCGAGGTTTCTTCAATATGCAAGCTGAAAGAGCCAGGAATCGAACCACTGATGGTCCAATTAGCAGACGAGCTTCTCCAGCTCCTGAGCCACAGTCGTCCAATTTACCCAATGGCCCCTTATCAAATCTTCTGATCTCTTTGCTATCAGGCATGAGATTTTTTTTTTAATGTGAAGAGCTTTTAGAGCTCACTGGTTTTGCTTCCTGGGTGCATAAAGCTATGCAACTATAGTGTTTAAACAAAGTTTAGAATGCTTTCTGTTTCCTCAGCTCTCTGTGAGGGTCCTCAAAAGTTTAAAAGCTCAAATGAGACAGTGTGGGAAGAAAAAGTGCCGATGGTACGACACACACCTTGGTCTGTCTGCATCTGACGCACCCCACATTGTCATTACGCATACTGTTGACTGAGTGAGCCATCAAACAGTCATTTGGAGCTCTGCATCTGTGTGAGGTCTTGATAAGATTTCCTCAGAATGAGGGCTTCAAACTAAAAACCATAAAAACAAAACAAGACCATCTACTCAAAGCTACAAACACACAGATGCACACACAGAGCAGAGATTGTAACGTGATGTGCAAACAGGAAACCTGCTGCTGACACTTAATGAAGAACGAGATTAAAGCACTCACACAAAAATATAAAAACACACACACACACACACACACACACACACACACACACACACACACACACACACACACACACACACACAAACTGAGACCATCCCAATGTCACATCCCATTGAAACACACACACACACTTCCTGCTGTTTTTGACAAAAGAAGGAGGTCAGAGCAGGGACAAAGGCCCTGCTCTGACCTCCTTCTCCTCTCACTTTACCCTGAAAACACACACACACACACACACACACAC